CTATCGACAATCTTCTGTTTCTATACTCAACCCTGAAAATCTCTAATTTGAATATCCATATGAAACTATACAATTCTATAATCAACCCTATTATTTACTACGCAAGCCCTATCTGAAGTCTAAACTCGAGTCCTTTCATGTCTATTTCCTATGTAAATTATTCCATCTAGAAAGAACAATTCCTGGTTATGCTCTCTGACATGAAACAAATCGTATCTGGTCATTTCTCCTTCTATTAAAAAGTATAATTAAATTTTATTATAGACTCAAATTCAAAAGTGATGATAATAGCTTTCCTACATCAAGAAATAATCAAGCAGAGCAAAAATGTAAATTACAAACAGCTTTGGCAATACAAATTATGTAAAATTTTGAACTCATTTGGCATATCAGAACTATTATTTAAAGATATCATTTAGGATTGGAAATACGGTTATACTCTTCTATTAAACTCTGCCATATCTCAATCTATAAATAAAGATCAGCTCTCTTTAAACCATAGTAATTATCATCTCTGGTACACCAACTTATTCAAAATCCCATCTTCTCAGCCATATATGTGGCAACCAATTGATTTGAATGTGAAATGACTAATAATCCAGCTATGCCTTAACAAATATTCTCTCTTTGTTAATAATACCTACATAAACTTTTCAAATACCCATTGCTGCTTATGTCAATCCAAAGACTTCTCAGCATTCCACCTTCTAAAAAACTGTCAAGAACTTACAACTTTGTGTGAACAATATGAAATCATATGAATATGTAACTATAGATCACCTCTTGAACTCAAAATAAATTTAAACTTTCTCAATAAAAAGGATCTATATAAAATTTATAATTACTTTGTTAAAATCATGGAAAAAGTTTTAAAAAATTAAATAAATGTTGTTAATAATAAATAAAAATCATTATAAAACTTAAATATCCTATTACGGTATTTTTTTACTTATTCTGTACATGTTTATAAGATGTAAGGCAAAATGACTGTACAGTTCTGTTAAATTATGATTGTTTTATTATCAATATAATACTTTTGTAAACTAAAATTGTTAATTAATTTCATTTTTATGTATCACCCCTGTAACAGGGAAATCTTTTCCTTTTGCTAATAGATTTGATTTGATTTGATAATTTTCATCACTTTTGTGTTAGAAGTATAGAAATTATAGTGACTTCTCATTGCCTAGTTACTTTTCACTTCCCTGTAGATGAAAATCAGTCCAAAAATGCACAATTCACACCAAGAAATAAGGTGCAATTAGCATTTAAAATAGCCAACATGACTTACTCTTCCAAATAACCACTGTGACAATCAGTTGTCACAGAGTTCTATATTTAGATTGCATGACTCATTCACTGTTAGCAGCCAATTCCAACACTTTTCTCTTATGACACACGTAACTTATATGAAACTACAGTGGGTGATTGGTTAATGAACAGTTCAGATAACAAACACTTTCGTGAAAGATTTTTATGATTGGACAACGAACACATGTTCGAATAACAAACACTTTACTGAACAAACATAAAAAGAAGTGATGGAAAATAACGAATACTTATTGATTTCCCCTTGTCTTCAGGTAACAATTCGAAACCTTTCGTAGCATGGGAAATGTCAACATCAACACTCAACCCGATACCGATCAGATAGTATTAATATTCCTCTGAATTTTGAAACTCTCCCTTGTAATTCCAGCTTTTTGTTTACCTTTCTGCGAGACTGTTTACCTGTTTGCCTGTTTACCTGTTTGCGAGACTGTTGGATGGGTACTTGTTAAGTTTTGCATCGGGGTTTATTTACAAAAGATGAAATTTTAACTGTCCCATCAGATATTCATTAACTTTTTAAAAAAATACCAAATTTTGAATTTCATCCGGGCCTTGCATTTAAATAATTTTTTGGACTAGTTGATTTCTGTTCTCTGAATTTTTGTAAGTGCTTTTCTGAACTTTTTATTTAAAAAAGAAACTGATAATATTATGGAGCCTAAAAAGAGAAGTGTCAAGAACTGTGCTTACCATAGAAACCAAGTAAGAGATAATAGCCAAGGTAGAAAGTGGGCAGAAGATGCCTGATGTTGCTAGATGTATGGCTTGAACAGGTCTATAGTAGGCACAATCTTAGCTATGAAAGATATATCAAGAAGTTTCAAGCTGCTAATGGAGTAATGAAAATCACATCTGAGAAATAAAGAGCATTTTAGAGCTCATAATGGAACCTGAAACTGATCTGACGACAGAAGAACTCCAGGGATGTCAGAACAACGGTCATCCAAGTGGCATCCAAACCAGAATAGGGTTAATGGGTTGGGGATCTCTACAATTACAATACTATTAATTACTTCCGAAAAATCCTGAAGAAAAGAGAAAAGCAATTGACATTGGACAGATTCTTTAAACCCCACAAACGGAAAAGACATGACTAATAAAAATGTAAGACTGCATATATATTTTTACTATTACATATAAATAAATGTAGTAAAAAAGTATATATTTTTTATTTTTTGGAGTCTCCGGAAAGTATTAATCAAATTCCCATAAAAACCTATGGTAAATCAATAATCGGTTAATGAACAAAGTCTTGGAACAGATTATGTTCATTAACTGATCATCCACTGTGTATCCAAATTGCTCCTTTTTCTGTGAAAAAATTAGTTAATTGTGTCAAAATTATCTTCACTATACTAGAATGAATCACAAACACACTTTAAACAACCTTTAAAATCTAGTAACAAAAATTTTTTTAATGTAAGAATTTTTGACAAATATTTTCAATTATTGCGAGTGACAACAGGAACACTGTTGACATCACTGTTAGGGACAACAGATTCCAAAGGGATTTAGTGTACATTGGGTCCACTAAATACTCAATACAAAAAAGGGTGCAAGAACATTATTACGACATTTTGAACAAAAGACATACCTTTGCCCTATCCATTTACGTCACTGAGCCTGATGTGCAAGTTGATCTCCAAAATGCCATGTTAATAAGGCAATCATTTCAAAAAGATCACATTAGGGCCCTAGAAGCCTTGAAAATATACAAGGCTGATCTGACTGGTAAATGTATTAACTTCAAGGATAGAAAAACAATCTTGTATGCATTACAATGCTTTTATGAAAAACTGGGGAGTGTCAACATAAATTAATTTTTATTAATTGGTATTAAGTTGTTTTAAATTTATATATGTGTTAACTTTATATAAGTGTTAAATTTATATTTACCACCATTTAATTTTTGTTGCTATATAGAGTTATGTTTTTGTTCCAATTTTTAAAAAATAATATTTTGAAAAGTTGTTCCATGCATTCCCCAATTTGGAATATTGTTAATTTAAAGACTTGAAGCAGACCTTGGTTAAGGTGGAAAATGTTTGTCAAAAACTTTTACATTAAAAAATTTTTGTTACTGGATTTTAAAGGTGATTTAAAGTGTGTTTATTAATTGTGTTAATACAATAGCAGCCAAGATAAAATAAAACTGAAAGATTAAAGACTTTTAATTTTTCGGTTTTACTATATTTTAATATTACTTGTTATTGCAACAAAATTAGTTAATACTGAGCATGAGCCCTCCCCTGCCATATAACAAGTCCANTTTTTTTAGCTGCATGGAATATTTTTTCTGAATTATATGTTTTAAAGATCACAGATTCTAAAAATAACTTCCGTTACATCCCATCATGTAAAGGTTTTTGTAAAATAGAAACAAATTTTTGATAAAAACTCTTATTTATTACAATGAACTAAATATATTTTCTTACAATTAATCAAAAATTTGTTTTTGATTAGTTGTAAGAAAATATAATATACATAATTTTAGGTCTACTCTTTTTTCTTATGACATCTTTTCTTCTTTGATGCTTCTCCAAACTCGTTTCTGATTTCCTTCTCTGGTTTCTCGATTGAGCATCCAACAGTAGTCAGCTAACATATTGACATCCCATTTTCCTGGTAACGTCTCTCTATATCACGGACATTCTGTCCCCTGTTCTTCACTGTAGGCTTCCAAATTTTCGGGAAAATAGTTAATATGGGAGTGTAAGAAATGAACTTTTAAGCTCATCTTGCATCCTTGAGCTTCATACACTGCCAGCATGTGTTGTACAATGGTTTTGTAGTCAGGATCCTTAGTATTTCCCAAAAACTTATGCACTATGTTCTTGAAAGAGTTCCATGCTTCTTTTTTCTTTTCTCCCACATTTCCAAAAAGAGGGGATCAGATAAAGGGGATGTTGACTTTTCACTGTGTATTCACCACAANTATTACTTGTTATTGCAACAAAATTAGTTAATACTGAGCATGAGCCCTCCCCTGCCATATAACAAGTCCATATAACTGTTGGACCAAAGTGAGTTATGTATCAAAATGCCAATAAACCTTAAATCCAGTATTGAATAAACAATTTATTGATAGAACTGATGATTGCAACCCTGTTTAAAGGCCATCTTCAGGTTCTAAAGATGGAAGACAAATAGAACTGAAAATCAAATTCAAAAGTATTTGTCTGATACATAATGTTGCATGTACACTACATCGTATTTTTCCTTTAACATTAGAATTGTGCCGATTATCTATCTAACACGTTTTAGGGGAAAATTTTAGAATTGAAATAACACGACTTCCAGTTTGCATTGAAAGTTTGCACATAGTTAATCGGATCTCCTGCCCTTAAGCTGTCTGGTCTTGACTTTCATTTATCTAACTCTGTTCCCAAGATTAAGGAAGAACAGACAGACGGACAATAATGAGAATTTATAGGTCTAAAATTTTTCAAATTGCACCCTAATTAGCTAATAATTCACATTAATACAATTTCTGACTTATGTTTATTGATTTTTTCTTCTGTCTAAACTGTTTCATTTGAAACAATTTTTTTTAAGTTCTGAATTTAGTATTTTAAATTGCTATGACATTGATTATTATAAAATATTTCAGATATTAAATAATAAAATTTTAAAGTAAAAATTTTAATTTTGAAAAATTATTTTTTTAGTGATATTGGAATATATGATAGAGTGGTGATTCAGGAAATGTTGAAAAATGTTGCTCAAACACAACAATTAGAAACAAATGTACAGAAAGATTTTAAAGGTAAATATTTGATTATTTTTTATATATACTCATTAATATTATATCTATTTAATAATTAATGTCAAAATTAAAATTAAATGTTTAAATTTGATTTATTCTGTTGTATTATTATTAGTTTTGTATACATGTAATACCCCGTTTGCACTGAGCATTTCGATCTAGATTGTGACTAAGGTTGGAGACTGTTCCATGGTGCAAACGCTCTTGACCGTTTCAATCTTGACTGAAACGAGGTTCAATAGCGATCGACTGGAGAGAGTTCTCGAAACTAGATCCAGTCATAAGAGAGATCCCACAATCCCACACGCGCGAGAAAATACAAGATGGCTGCAGAACACGTGTCGGGCTATCGACAGAGAAATAAAAAAAGACATCTGGAGAGATGACGACATCTGTCTATTATTAGATGTATGGCAAGAAAAAGTATTTATTTCTAACCAAAACTTCCATTTTGTTTGTTGGTGTTTGCGACTTACCACTTAGTTACGTCAGTTTTATGATTGCGTGTAATAGCCAGGTTCTTCTCGAGCGGACTGCCTGTATGAACAGCATGACGTTTGACTAGCGACAGTCACAATCCAGATTGTAGGTAAATCGAGATCGAAGTGAGTTGTGGATTGTGTGCGAATGTAGTATTAAGTGTATGTACAATGATGATAATGCCACAAACACAAATTTTACATATGATTTTTAAAATTAAGATGTGCAGTCTAAATTATCTAAATCTTAAAAATTTACTTTATGTAAAAGCATTATGGTTACTATAATGATTAGTTCAGCTGCTCTGATTTATAAGCTATAAATTTTGTCTATTCTTACATCTTTAATTAAGAATTATGAATTAATAATTTTATATATATAGTCATTTTGACCATAAGTTACCATTTATAATAATATTTTTTTGCTTCAATATACTCTTTGTTACTGGTTATTTTGTAGTAGATCAAGTAGACAATATTACTGAACATAATTTAAAATAGATCTATTCAGTATTCACATTGTTAGGCTTGTAATGAGCATAATCATAATCCTAATGATAAGCAAAGTCAACTATACAGTATTTATGTAGAGGCTAAATGATGAAAAATTAACAACTTTGAAAATAGTTCTTGTTTTTTCTTTTGTTAATTTGAGAGTTAAGTACTTTAAGAAAGCCACAGAAGATTGTCAAAATAAAAAATTGTGTATTCTGAGAAGTATAGAATTCTTTTTAAAGAATGCAACATTCATTATAATGATGGAAACAATTTAGAATTAAAAATACTATTAAATGAGTAATATCCAAATCTTTATGTATATTTATTATTGACAATAATTTCACATAAATTAAAAATATATGACTTAAAAGGAATATTTTTTTAGTTATGTATTTATATCAAATATTTATTAAGAAATTTTTGTTTAGTTGTAGTTCTTATGGAGGTTGATAAGTTAACAAAAGATGCCCAACATGCATTGAGAAGGACAATGGAAAAATACATGACAACATGTCGGCTAATTTTATGTTGCAATTCTTCAAGCAAAGTTATTCCAGCAGTAAGAAGTAGATGTCTCGGTGTTAGAGTTGCTGCACCTTCAATAGAAGAAGTAAGATTATTTCATTAATTTATAATTTTAGATATATTTTTAAATTAGTTCAAAAATAACTTGGGTAAATCTTATTATTGATATACTGTGTAATACTTTGAAATAAGATTTAAATTGAGCATGAAAATATGTTGCAAAAAAGGATAGTTCACGTTCATGTGTGAGAGTTAAATTCGGTTATTNGAAAATCCATCCTAAGAAGTTTGATTTAGAGGAAGAAGTTATAAAAAAAAAAAAAATATTGTTCCAATAAATGGTTTATAGAAATCTTTTCAGATTTGAAGTATCATTTTTTAATTCAAATTTGAAGTATCAAATTTGAATCATTATTACATTATATTAATTGGAATTTTATTAAAATATAATTGAGTCTAATTTACAAATGTTTTATTTGCAAGTAAATTAAACTAAAATAAAATATATTTCTTTAATATTGTGTTTACAGTCACTTCAGGAGAAAACTGAATATAAGAATACTATTCTGACAATAATTGTTTTTTGTCAGAAATAGCACGTATGGTGCTTGATTTTATCAAAAATATTTTTAATATTTTAATTAATTTTAATATTAACAATAACGTACAACTACACACCGGAGGTACGTAATATTTAATTCTAATATTGTATTAGATATATTGATACTAAGTATAAATGAAAACTAAAAATAAAGTACATTGGAACAAATATGATTTAATTGAAAGAGCCAGCATGTGAATATTAATCCATCAAGAATGCCTAGATTCATAGTTGGTACTTTTGCTTATTACCAATTTTCATGGTGTTGGCAGGTACAATTTGTAAGGATTCAAAACTTTTAATTGATATAATACTAAATTATTTCATTATAATTTATTGTTTGTTCTGTAAATTCTGTGACTTTCACTTAAGTCTAACACACTTATGGATGACACCTCTTGTTATCAAGATCAGGGCATCTACTTTGTCCTACTTTCTGTTAGCATGCTCTACTTTTCCCACTTTTTGAGTGAGAAATTTTTTTTCTCTGCCATTCATTATTCTATACTAGATCAAAAATTCTTTGTAGATTCGTGTTGTCAAAATGCTATAGTTGTTTTTCATTTAGTTTGTTGTTGTCCACATCTCACAGAAATACAGTGTCACATATATAATAGGAATTTTAAAACCATTCAAAATAGATTGCTGAGTTATGTTGAAACCCAAACTGACTGCTAAAATTTGTCTACACCCAAACAATGAAGGATTCTTGATCTCAAGGGCAGCCACAAAAAAGATAGATATATAGATAGACAAAACAGAAGAACAACTAAAACAATTAAGAATATTCAACTGGATAATTATTGACAGGCAGACAGAATTGGAGAAAGATTGTGTCTTCAGTATAGAACTTCACAGACGCAGAGCTATCAAGATGATGATGATGATTTTTTTCTTGTAAATCGTTAAGAAATAATCATTCTATTGACAAGTTAAGGCTTCTTGATTTGTTTTATATATGATACATAACACTTCTTAAGTACAAATAAAAAACTGATTGCTATTGTAATAAAAGCCAACTGCTTTTTATCATTCAGTTCCAGACTTCTAGAAAATTCTGCATTTTTGCTAGTTTTTGTTCACTTAACTTTGCTTCCAGGAGTAAAATTTGACAACAGGAAATTAACCAGGTACTTATTATTGTATAGGGAACAATTAGGGAAATTACAACTGTGTGACTGGAGGGTCGGCACCTCCTTGTCAGGACTGACACCACCGTGTCTCATGCGACACGGAAGCCATGATGGTGAGTTGTTTTGTTTTTAAAAGTAGGTCGTACAAGTAGCTGCGTGCGCAAACAATCGGATCTGGAGACAGTGAGTTGGAAGTGATTCACTTGGATTCCAGTTAAACCAACAAATAACCATTTAATTTTAAAGAAAAAGAGTACATGATATATTTTATGTTAAAGCAAAATAATCCAACTATGCACAGTAGGTGGTTGTGAGAGAGAGAGAATTTACAATAAATTGCACGTTGTTGTAAATACCTGGGGTTTGAAGAGATCCTTAAAAAGAACAAGTGAAGGTAATGGGTTGTCCATTTTTTGATATATCACTGGGGTAGATCAGCATGATAGGAATGTTTTAATGTGGGGACGTAATCCTGTTGGAATCAATGTTATTCCATATTGGAGATGATGGTATTCCATATAAGGAAAGACAGAGTTCTATATTGGTCGAGGAACAGGCAACGACTTGTTGAGTTGTGGAGGAATGGGCGATAACTGACTATTGTGAGTAGCTGATTGTTATATTAAAATGACAAAATTGGGACAGAAGGTCGTGGGAAAGCATCTTTTTTGACACTGAGAATTTAAAGAAAGACATACTCCCAGGTGTAAAAGTTGACAGATAGTCAACAATGTTGATGTTATGATAAGTTGTTTACTTTGAAGTCCAGAATTTCACAACTGGTTATCTGAAGGGGTACAAGATTACTTGAGGAAAATTGAAATATTCACTTACAGAATTGTTCACTTATATGAGGTTCAGTCAATAAAGTAGACCAAAAACGTTAGAAATTTAAATAAAAAAGACTACATCTTAAAGGTTTTTGTTGTTGATTGGTTCTGATAACTTAAGGCATTTTCAAGAGGAATTTTGGATTGTTCACTTAAACAAGATGAACACTAGTGAATTCCTAACTGAGGTGTTCACTAAGAGAGGTTTTACTGTAATTATTATTTTTTTCTTTACAAAAGCTTATTCAATATACAGTGGGTAGTGATTGGTGATTGGCTTCACAGGAGGAATTGTGGAACTTCACATACTGTAAGTGAAGTTGTAAGTAAAATTGTGGAACTTCACATACTCTCAAAATAATGACATGTTATTATCTTGAGAGAGCATCTATAAACTAGGAACTAATCATCTAAATAAAGATTGGTTTAATTTCACAAAATTCAATTTGTATAAAAGGATTGATTAGAAACCTCACACCGAGTCAAAAAATAAAATCAGACAGAAAAAGAATTTTAGTAGTCCTGATGCAAGTTGAAATCCAAATAAATGTTTGTCCTAACTATAATATTTGTGATGAATGGGTATTTATTTATCAATTGACCAATATAAACAGATGAGACCATTTGTCATTCTCTCTCTCTCTCTCTCTATTTTAAATATATAAAAATTTAAATATATTTTCAATTATAGATTGTAAACATTTTGAAGAATACATGTAGAAGAGAGGGTCTCACTTTACCTACTGAACTGGCACAGAAAATTGCAGAAAAAAGTAATAGAAATTTACGACGAGCTCTTCTGATGTGTGAAGCCTGTAGAGTACAGCAGTAAGTAATTTTTGCATGTCTTACTTTGTATTATCTGAAAATGTATAAAAATAGAAAATTGAAGATTTTTTATATTGAATTATAATGAATCTTTGAGGAAAAAAACTGTGTTAAAATAGCCATATACACTTGTCTGTTTTAGCTTCTTAAATTAAAGAAACAATTATTGGGAGAATTTTAATTTTTTTTTAACCATAAAGTTTATCTTTTTATGAAAAGATTATGTATTGAAATATCTATCACAATATAAATGTGTTTGTATATTTCATTTTAAAATGGCATGAAATAAAATATTACATATTTTACATTTTATATTTAAAAATTTTTTATTGTTAAGTATTTATTAAATTTATTTTATAGATATCCCTTTTCTCCAGATCAAAATGTCATTCTTCCTGATTGGGAAATTTATTTACAAGAAACAGCAAATATGATAGTGCAAGAACAAAGTCCAAAAAGGTATACAGTTTTATAATACTTTGAGATAAATAAATGATTTAGTTTTAAGTTATTAATCTTGAAGCATAACGTATAAAACTTGGATGACATTAAGATTACTGCCAGTTGACATAATTCTGATTGTGTGAAGGATACAATGATGCAAAATCACATCAAATGGCAGCAAATGTGTTGACTGGTTGCAAGGTAACCTTAATTATTATTTTAATTACTTTCCCAGCTCTGTTATATATAACAGGGAAAACTATGGCAATGAGTCAAAAAATGACCCTCAAGATTTTTACATTTTTGAACTTGTCAAGAAATATAAAAAAAAAATTTGGAGGTTTTCCTGTATGTGTGTGGATGTTTGGGGGGAACAGTTTTGTTCACCCACTATGAAGCTTAATAATTCCTGTGCTTTTTGTTGAAAATTTCTGAAATTTTGCAGGAAGATTTATATATTAGGGGATTGATGCTATTAAATTTTGGCAGTTTAAAGTTGAAGGGATGGGTAGATAGAGAGGGTGTTGTGTGTCATATCTTGAGTAGGGTCAAACTTAAAGAAGCTTTTACTTACAAACAACTCTACTAAAACCTGATAATTATATAACTAAAGCCAACCACAGGCGTATGTTATCAGGCTTAAATAATGGTTATAATAATAATAAATTACCGAACAATTTGATACTAGAGGAAGGCATTAGGCACCATCTCTTAATAAATTTAATAATTATAATTTTATTTAAGTAATTTCGATTAAACTGGAAGAAAAGAATCAGCCCAGAGCACCCCATAAATTATTTAATTAAAATTATAATTATTAAATTTATTAAGAAATGGTGCCTAACCCTCCCTCTAGTATCAAATTGTGTGGTAATTTATTAATATCATAGCTGTTATTTAGCCTATAACATACAGTAGTGGTTGGCTTTAGTATATAATGCATTGGATTTTAGTAGAGTTGTTTGTTTATATATGTCTGCCTATTTTGATGAGTATCTGTTCACTCTGCTTGATAATCTCACCTATAGGTTGGTTTTTGTGTTGGTTTTTGCAGCATGGTATCAAGAAAATTGAAAATAATAGAACAACAACAAAAAAAAAGCTTTGATGATAATGAAATTAGCTATACAAAATTTAGTTGAATTATAATCTCAAGAATTACATTGAGAGAAGATAGTAAGTGCAATAGAATTTTATGCAACATGCATAAAATGTAATGCTTAAGTGTAAAATAATCACACAATTTTTTATTATTTTATTAAGCATTCTTTAAAGAAATATTTATTATTTTGACATTAAAATTGTGTGAAGTTTTAGTGTTTGATAGTTTTCATTATTATTATTATAGAAATAAGGAAGTTGACTTAAACACAATTAAACTGTATCTGAGAGTAGCCATGAAAATAATTTTTTCTCTTAGTTTCCTGAAGTGTTTCTTTAAATAAAATTATCCATATTTATGGAAGAATAGATTGAAAACTAAAATTAAAAAGTTTGAAATTGTTTTTAATTGAGTACTAGATGAACCTTTCTGTCTTTTATTTTATTCTGTAATTATCTGCTGATCAATTAATTACACAGGTCTGCAAAAAAAATTTTTTTTCAGCTGCATGGAATATTTTTTCTGAATTATATGTTTTAAAGATCACAGATTCTAAAAATAACTTCCGTTACATCCCATCATGTAAAGGTTTTTGTAAAATAGAAACAAATTTTTGATAAAAACTCTTATTTATTACAATGAACTAAATATAATATCTTACAATTAATCAAAAATTTGTTTTTGATTAGTTGTAAGAAAATATAATATACATAATTTTAGGTCTACTCTTTTTTCTTATGACATCTTTTCTTCTTTGATGCTTCTCCAAACTCGTTTCTGATTTCCTTCTCTGGTTTCTCGATTGAGCATCCAACAGTAGTCAGCTAACATATTGACATCCCATTTTCCTGGTAACGTCTCTCTATATCACGGACATTCTGTCCCCTGTTCTTCACTGTAGGCTTCCAAATTTTCGGGAAAATAGTTAATATGGGAGTGTAAGAAATGAACTTTTAAGCTCATCTTGCATCCTTGAGCTTCATACACTGCCAGCATGTGTTGTACAATGGTTTTGTAGTCAGGATCCTTAGTATTTCCCAAAAACTTATGCACTATGTTCTTGAAAGAGTTCCATGCTTCTTTTTTCTTTTCTCCCACATTTCCAAAAAGAGGGGATCAGATAAAGGGGATGTTGACTTTTCACTGTGTATTCACCACAAACATAGCAGAATCTGTCAGGAGAAATTACACAACCTCTGCGAGCCATATTTCAGAAATAAAAATACAAGCACAGTAGCGTTCGAATGCTGGATATAACTGAGTGTGGCATTAGGTGGAGATTAGCGAGATACTGAACTTATTTAGCTTGTTGAAACATGATCTAATCCAACAGCAGGTTGTTTATATTTATTCCTAGTATCCCAGATAACATGTCAAAGCATGCTTAACCTCACCAATATTATTACTCACTATCAACTTTTAACCTGTTTCTACATGAGCATGCGGCCTTCCTCCTAATGCTAAAATTACTTAACCCATCTCCCCCTACCACTACTCTCTTTAACCATTAACATTTTTTTATTTATTTATTGCCAAGTCCAGTTATAATTGATAGAATTAATGTGAGAAGTCTTTGTTTTAAGGCCATTTTTTAAATAATAAAAAAAAATACTAAATTTTAAGTTAACTAGGAATTTTACACTAAATACAAACAAAAACTTGAGTGTAACAAAAAAAATTGA